TATATATATATATATAATGAAGTTATGTGACATCTACATTTTACCACATGTTACCACTTTTTCATTAGTGATCGCATCCACAAGAAAACTGGATTTGAATATGTAACGAAGTCCTCCAATAATAAGAATACAGAAGAATGAACCGGAATCCTTAACACCTCCAATCCTTGTTTAATTATTTATTTATTCTTAACAGCAAGTTTCACTGTAGTTTCTATTCCCAGAGTTTATTACAGCACTCTATCTTCACTGGTTTCCCCGGCACAAACACATGCACAGTACGTGCTGATGCTGAACGTGCAGGAGATGCTCTCACATCACCCAGATAAATTCAATCATAAAACGATGCTGGCGATTGCCACTCCGCAGAGCAAACTTTCACCATGGGGAAAAAAAGCTGGCAAACGGTGACCTGTCAAAGGTCAATAATGTTCCTGTGAGACCTGCTGTTGAATGAGATTTACCTTAAGTCATTTTGTCATTGCTCAGAAGCAGATGAAAACTTCCAGATGTGAATGTAAAAAATTGACTTAACCTTCCTGTCGTGTTCGGGTCAAATCGGGTCAAATTAATCAACAAAAAGTTTTAATGACATGTTTTTCATTATGCCTCACATATGTCATGAGGGGCAAATGTTTTAGGTAGTGGTAATTTAAACCACTAAACTGCACTGATGACCTTTGTATTAATTCAATTAAGTTTAGTTTTGTTGGAAATCTTAGATTTTTTTATTTTTTATGCTGAAATCAGGATCTCTCAAGAACAGCTAGCAATGGATAGAAGCCGTACCCTTGCCAGATGATTGAGTCACACTCAGAATTACATAGGAAAATAAATACTACAGCATTTCCATTATAGAGTCATGCCATTCATCATTAACTCATGTCCTTAAGGTACTTTAAGAAGGGTGATGCACTGGTGAGCTGTATGTAATGATTTGTTTAGTCCCAGAAGAGGTCCAGACCTCCGCTTAACCCCATGTGGCCCCAGTGGCAGCAGGAAAGTGCAGCAGATTACCACCTAGCCTCGCAATTTGTACACAATTAGATCTCCGGGGAGAGAGCTGCTCCAACTTTGCATTGCAACTGCTCTTGACTCTGCGTGAGCTTCTGGCACAATATAGATGTGGAAGGTGCATCGACTGTTTTGAAAAAGGCAAATGCAAATGTACGAATCTGTTATTGTTGGTTTATCTACGAGGACAACAGTAACATTGCTAATTAATAGAAATAATTGGGAGAAGAGCAGAGCTGGTTCCCCTGGTCTGTAGAAGTAGCTGTGGGATCACTTTCACGAGGTTTGCTCATTCAAATCTGTGCTTTTTCTCAAAGTACTGCAGCACATTCAATTATGTAATATTACACTGTATCCTTTGTCTCTGAGATAGTTTATTTGTGCTCATTAAAATTTTTGTGGGACCGCTGAGAGCCACTAATGTGCAAGACCAACATAAAAAGCTGAGTTGTGCTGAGCGCCTGTACTGTGTGTAGATCTGAACACAGAGTGAGCCACAATATTGGTACATAAATTGGTATGTACTGCAGTGAGATATCACACAGAGGACCGGTGAGATTATCATATATATATAGCATTTCTTTTCTGCTCTAACAAGTGGAAACAGTGATGCAGTGATGAGGAGGAGCAGAGGAGTTTGCTCATTTTGGAGGAGGCTGTGCTGCTTACACAGATGCTCCCAGTGTGGTATTTTTCATTACATTGTTTTCAGTGTTGTGAGAAAATAAACATAGTGGGCGAGGGGAGTTTAATGACTTAAGTCAGAAGAAACATCCACCGAGTGTGGCAGGGTTAGAGATAAAGTAATAAGAGATGGGACGGGCTGTTTTTATGAGGACTGTAGCGTGTGAGTGCGGTCTCTCCTTTTGAAGAGCGGAATCAAAAGGCATGTGGATACTCAGCCACTGCAGAGGCTGACTGTTGTATTGACTTTACATAACACAGATGTGAGGTATGCCTCATAGATACACCTTTTTACCATTTAAACTGTTTATTTCACTTAAAAATTTTTTTTCTAGACTTAATAAGCATGCCAAACATATTAAATGCTACATTTCAGCAGAGAGAAAATTAAATTGCATGATGCATTGTTGCTCATTAGAAACCATTTCCAAACAGCCTGCAGACCCTCAGTTTCATAAATGTGGTGCCATGCAAATATGATGTGATGCTCACAGCAAACCATATACTGTAAACAAAATAAATCATGCTGACTTCCACTTCCACGTATGTCAAATGCTGCCACTATTATCTCTGATTCAGGGTGCCCTGTTTAAATTAATATGCTTCATTTGACGGCTTTCCTAATTTTGCTGCGGCTCCTGTCCGCCCATCAACTTGAAGTCGAAGCTGGCCTCACATGACTCAAGCGGCCAAGCAGGAATAAGTGATACCATCAAGTCAGAGACTAAGTGCACAGCGGCTGCTGTATCCGTGCTTGTAGCACTCCATTTACAGTGAATCAATACCCCACTGTGACAAGTGAGTGAGAGGAAAATAAGGGGTATGCTATAGTAAAAAATCCTGCAGTGATACCTGTGGCAGCTGTTAGGCACTCACGCAATGCAGCATCTAACATTAAGCTGCTAATCTCAACATGAAAGAGAAGACGCTCACGTTTGTGACAGAGAGGGAGGTTGCATTTAAAATGAGTACACTGAGCATACAGTGTATGCATACATTACTGGTTGACTGTCAGAATCCTTGTAAGCTCCTACGGTACAGCTCCTATAGTAATGAATTTTCAATACAAACAGCCTTCCAGATCATCCTCTGACTGTTAAAACACATCACAGCAGTTATAATAATAAATGTTATTACTGATTTATTATTATACATTGGGAGGCTGATAAAAGCAGAAGAAGACAATACATCTGTGGAATTGACCATCATCACTTTCACGAGTGGCATGCAACAGTCAGCGTCTGGAATTGTGCACCGATGTATAAAATCGATAAAATATAAAATCAGTCAGGTGGACTGTCAGCTGCACTGAGCATCATCCTCTGTTTTTAATCACACGGGACATTTCATGTATTTTTTTTCTCTGTCCTTCTATCCAGTGGGAAGTTGGGTGACTGTTTGAAAACGCAGATGCAAAAAAACTCTTTTTGCATCAATCCAGTATTTAAGAATCTAATTATGTTCTTTTTCTTTTTCACATAGACCCTGTATGAAAGATGGACATAGCTTCTGTGAAAAGTGAACTCAGTACATTCTTACTAATCAGTGAGAGACTCCTCACAAAAGACCTCTTCCCTGATCTCTTCAAGTCTTATTACATATGACATGATGTTGGAATCCAGACTGGTTTGACTGGCTTCAGAAACTAAGATGCAACAATTACAAGTTACTCTGACCAAGGCTTTAAAAGTCACAGTAGTTACATCCAAGTTTCATATACAATCAGTGAAATCCAATGAATCCACACCCACAGAGATCTAATGATATGCATTAGATGAGTTTATTAAAAAAAATAACAATAATAATAAATGGAACTTCAAATATTTTGTGAAATCTGCCTCAGCTAATGTCTTTTTACTTGTGAGATCCTAGTCTAATATCAGAGATCAAGTTTTCAGAGGCTGTAAAATAGGCTCTGACATCTGCACGCCTCAAGAGTTGTTCAGTATAATGATACTTCCACAGCACTGAGCTACAGGCTGTAGTTGCACATGCAATATGTATCAGGAAACTATTTTTGTCCATGTTTCAACTTCCACACACCACTGACTGTGCAGTGCCTCGCATGGATCATTGTTTACTCTCACCTTTACTTTTTTAAGATGCTTTGTTTGTTTCTCTCCTTGGTATTGCAGCTCTGCTTATTTACTGCAACGTGTTTTGTAATTTGGTGTTGTGAGGGAGGCGGAAGCTGATGGGAAAAGAAAAAAAGAAAGATGCCAGTGCATGCTCTGTAGAGCAGATCAGCTGTGGATTGTCAGTCTCTCGCCGCTGCTTTCTTATTAGGCTGGTTTTTTCTCTGCAGGCACTTGGGACAAGTTGTTGACATGAGTCATTATGGGTCGTACCAGGGGAAGACACGGAGGGTGGTTGTGTTGTAACATGTCACGCTGCCGGCTCTGTTTACGGAGAGGAAACAATTAAGAGCCTTATAAATTGAGAGAGTGTGTCCATGTGGAAATCACGCAGGAAGGAGTTGTTTCTATCCTCAAACCTCATCTTTAGAGGAAGGGTTACCACAGCACCACGAAGCTTCAAAGAGCCACCCTGCCTGGCCATCCACAAATAGAAAATTTAAAGGGGAATTTTAAATTGAAGCAGATTAATATTTCACCTCAGGATTGATTCGCTCTGCCGTTGTCTGACATTTTCATCTGCAAGTGAGTTGCTTATGCAAAAATCAGGCAGTGACGTTGGTGTGGTCCTGATCTGGCACATCTCCTCCTTTTCACACTGGATTAGAAGTAACAGGCTACCTATTGCTGTCATTGGCAGTTTGTCACCCTACTTTGCCTGCTCTGTTATTTTCTCATTTACAATAGTGAGAAGAAAAAGGGGGCTTAAAGCGATGTTGATTTGTTGTTTCCATTAATATTTGAGGGTCTAAAGAAAATTTAGACGTTGACATTTTGCACATTTTGCAGTATGTTTCTGCCCTATAGAACAAAACGCTGATGAAATGTGTTGAAATTTCTAGCGATGTTTCCTTTTAACTTCCGAAATCAGTTAAATAAAAAACTACTGTCGATGTAACAAGATTATTATCTGGGACAAAAAAATGAAGCACTTTCATGTTTGTTGTGTTCTGCGCATGAGGAATGTTATTGGTTTTTCTGTCT